GATACTAGCTATTAATCATAAACAAGCTTCTGTCTAAGTTTGGTACACATCCAAGATAGTTTAAGAAAGTTGTTAAAATTTTAAAAACTTTAACCACAGAGTGAATGTAATGTTAACTGGCAGAAAAACTGAGTTCATTTATAAGTAAAATACTGAAAAAAATATATATTTTTTTTTTACAAAATTTACTTTTGAATATTATCTTATGATCATAAACAAGCTTCTGTCCAAGTTTGGTAGAAATCCAGGATAGTTTAAGAAAGTTATTAAAATTCAAAAAACTTTAACCACAGAGTGAATATTTGTGGACGCCGCCGCCGACGACGACGACGACGCCGACGACGGAATGTAGGATCGCTATGTCTCGCTTTTTCGACAAATGTCGAAGGCTCGACAATGAGCGCTTGTCTCTGCAAGTGGTGTCTCCTATTTGAGAGTTTGTGGTTATTTGATAAATATTTTATGTTCGTTTGAGTTTACGAATTAGAATTTAAGATTAAAAACACGTGCATTACGCAATTGGATTGAAAAGGCATAAACAAATAATTATAATTTTGACAGAAGTTCTGTTTTGGATCCATTTTCAACCCCTAAAACCGAACAAACGTTGTAAAAATAGAAAATTGAAAGAGGCATAAAACTGACCTTTGAAAAGAATCTGAATACACTAATTTTAAAATCCTTTGTAATGAATGGCTAGATATGTCTTATTTTCGATGCAAAATATAGTTAGCGTGCATTTGGTGTCCAGGATACACGTATATGTATGGGGTAAACAAATTAGTACAAATCTAGACACCGCGATAAAGAGGTAGGGAAATTTTCCAATGAGTTTTTTTCATTTGATTAGCTAGCTAAATCATGTTTTTAAATAGCCCGATAGATACTAATTATAGTATATGAAAACACGTCACATCATCTACTTTCATACCTTGAACAGGTATTCCTACAATAATCAAGGCCAAGACTATTGATTTTTTTTGTTTATCAAAACCAATATTTTGTTTGTAAATGCCCCTGAGGAGCATTAAAATATGAAGTATCAACTAATAGATATTCAAAATTAGTTTTGTATTAAAAAAAACATGGTGCTTCAGTTAGCGTGTTAATGTTGGTAGGTGATTTGTAGCGTACACGTATTTCACAGCTTTGTTTAACTTAAAACTAACAAAATATTAAACAAGAATGTGTCCATAGTACACGGATGCCCCACTCGTACTATCATTTTCTATGTTCAGTGAACTATGAAATTGGGATAAAAACTGTAATTTAGCCTTAAAATGAGAAAGATCATATCATAGGGATCAAGTGTACTAAGTTTCAAGTTGGTTGGACTTCCACTTCATCAAAAACTACCATGACCAAAAACTTTAACCTGAAACTGGACAGACGGACGAACGAACAGACGGACGAACGAAGGGACGGACGGACGAACGAACGAACTGACGCACAGACCGAAAAACTGAATGCCCCTACGTGGCGCCTAAAAAAGGAGGTTGAATATAAATACGAGAAACATTTAATAATCTAATTATCTGATATAAATCAGCTAATCTAATTCAAGATCGGTCTCTGTTTTAATGCCATTAAGCCAAAAAATATCGGACGCATTTAACTGGGATGTTGTTTTCCTCAATCTGGATGTATCTATATCTATACACTGTTCCAGCTTTTAAGGTTTACCGTCTATATGAACCGGACAACAGCTTACACCAGTTGGTACTAGAACGGCTTGCGTAACAAACACATGTAATCTGGTCTTTTCTGCATGGCATTGTACCAAATGGATCGACCCTATGTTGTGATACAGATTCAACACTTTCTTAATGTTTTACCTACAGTCACGATTGGTAGTGTAATTGATTTTTTCTGTGGTGTTGTTTCATTTTCTGATGACTTAGTACCTACACCGGAACCTATGTAACAATGCCAGAACTAGTATCTACACAGTTGGTGGATTGGCGATAAAATTATTGTCTGCATTTTTTACAAATCATACCATTTTCTAAAACGTTCTTGTTCAAGATTTAGAAAAAATATTTTTGTTGTTTTGAAATTTTTCTGCTATGGCCTTTTTTCGTTATGTGTATAACACACACAGCATTTGGGCTTATAATCAATTCTCGTGTTATTGGTTATGTACTTGTAAGCACCTACTTCAGTGTGACTCTTTGAATTAAACAAACATCCGAAAAAATGTGATAGAAACATAACATTTTAATATTTCAACATAAAAAATGAGAAAAATTGGCGTGAGATTTGAACCCCATCTTAAAAACAATCCATTATTTACAGTTTTAAGCGCTACCGATGGAGCCACGGCGACTCTTGAAAACATGATATTAAGCATCTATATAGGTAAAATTTAGCGATGTTCCACTTTTTATTAAAAAAGTTTTTTAGGTATAAAGGACACACTAAACCAATTTCATTTTTGAGAGGAAAAGTTGTATAAATTACAACAACAAAAAAAAACATAACTATGTTTTGGTTTGAAGTGTCCTTCTAGGGGGATTCCCTGTTTTTCCAACCTAAAAAAACGGTAAATTCCTCATATTTGACTTTCATCCTTTTTTTGAGGTTAAATTAACTATTTTCCAGAAATAACATAATACATAAAAATCGAGATATTGACCAAAAAACATTTCTATTTCATGTTTTTATCGTTAATTTTATCCTTTCAGCACTTTTTGAAATTGGCCCTTCTGTGAAGAAATTTCAGGGGAAATTGGCCCTACCTCTTTATATATAAATAGCGGACACAAGTGGACTCAAATCTTTTTCCATATATTATTAAGAATTAAAGAAACAAAGGATACAGGCGGAAACAAATGGACACAAGGTTATTTCTATATAAAAATTATGGAAACTGGAGGCTACAAGGTTTATTTTTGTGGTTCAAAGAACAATGCCCCCTATTTTGGACATACAAAAAGGTGCAATAAAAATATTTTCACCTCTGTGAAGAGTTTTACTATATTAACAAACCGCCCACAAAATGCATTAATCATCCGAAAAGGGTCGCAATTACTTAAATAAGAAATCGCCAAGACAACTTCAGCCATGTTGACTTTTCTATTTGTAGATCTTGCTAGTATTTTCTGCTTTTAAAGTTTCTATTTATTTTAGTTTTCAAGATAAAAGGCAAAAATGAAGATTTTCTCTATTTATTAAGAGTTTTCAAGATAAAACAGATTTGCATTTGACACCTATGTTCTATTGTAAGCCATGTCGACCATGTTGGTTGGAAAGCGCTCAACTAGATACCCCAATGAATAGTTTGGTCAAGTTTGGTTAAATTTGGCCTAGCAGTTTCAGAGATATTTTTTCTAAAATTAACAACGACGCACACAGTGATGAGAATAAATAAATAAGGTAACTCAGGCTAAAGGACACTCAATGTACTGTCAAAGTGTACTGTCAATGTCAAAACCATTTATGTGGACATTGACATTGATCACCTGTACTCGATGATCAATGAAACTGAACAAATTTCTAAGGATTGGATCAAGTGGTACTATCATGAATCACCATCCAGAATGCAAAGAAATGTAGTTTTTAAGCAATTCCAAGGCAGGTCTTTTGAAGGATAAATGTCAAAACCATATCAAAAGCAAACTAGACCCGTGTTTGTTTCAAAAGATGCGAGCATGCAGTATTATCATAAAAAAGATGAAACCCATAATACAGGTGTAATACTACCAAATTATAGTACGTCACATCCGGTTGCATACGAAGAAGGTTCGAAAAAAATATCCCCTTGAATTTGCCAGTTGAAGGCAATTTATCCAACATTTCATTGCAGTAAAAAAAAATTCCGAGTCATAATCACAGCTTGGGTGTTTCAAAGCACCATTCTTTTTTTATTAGCTCACCTGGCCTAAAAGGCCAAGTGAGCTTTTCTCATCACTTGGCGTCCGTCGTCCGTCGTCGTAACTTTTTACATTTTGAACTTCTTCTAAGGATCATTAATTGGAATGAAACCAAACATTGCATGAATATTCCTTATGAGGTTTTGACCAAGTGTTGTTACTTTGTAGCTGATCCATCATCCAAGATGCCCGCCAGAGGGGGGCTTCGTTTAACATAGGACCATATGGACAATACATACAAATGTTTTCTTTTAGAGAAACACTGAATGGAATGAAACCAAACATGAAATGAATGTTCCTAATGAGGCGCTGACCAAGTGTTGTTACTTTGTAGCCAATCAATTATCCAAGATGGTTTCCAGCGGGGAACTTAGTTTAACAAAGGACCCTATGTGAAATACATACAAAAGTCTGCTTTTGAAGAACCACTGAATGTAATGAAACCAAACATGGCATGAATGTTCCTTATGAGGTGCTGACCAAGTGTTACTTTGTAGCAAACGTGGTCTCAATTATTATTAGGGTATCTGTTATGATTTTAATCTATTTTTACATGATTTCCACAACCAAAGTAGAACCAGGTGAGCGACACAGGATCGTCAGAGCATCTAGTTTGGTGTTTCTATAGACTATTTAGGAATCTTGAGGTTACATGGTTACAAAAGCTTGTACACAGGAAAAAAGGGGAGAACATTTGATTGGTGAACTTCCAGCGATGGTAATCATCGTATATGCAATGACATGTTATTTGAAATTTTGTCTGTAGCCATACAGCTAGAAAGAATAAAACTTGATTAAAGCCAAGTATTTCTTTATTTGGAACAAAGATAAATTTTTAGAAGAGTGCAAATTTAACAAAGACTAATGGGGGAAAACAATGGTAATATTACACCTCTAAAGGTAACTAAGACAAAATCGAACTTGACCTACATTTTATTGTTGTCCATGACATTAGGCAAATTGTAACTAATCGGAGTGGAAAGCAAACTTGAGACAGGACAAAGGGATGGATGAACATATGCATCACCATGGAAGGGGTTAATGAGCTGTAACATAGTTTTTGTAAAAAAAAAAAAAATCATTTACGAATCTTTCCAAATCCTTGGCTTAAACAAAACAAATAATATATTCATATTGCCGATAAACTGGACATCGGATTTTATCTTCATTAAAACAATAAACATGCATACATGGATAAGCATAAATACATAAAGAAAATCGTAGCAATTATAATTGATGAAATGCTCTTTGTATTTTATGTGAAATATCAAATAATGGCAAAAATTCTATCATCGACGACCCCGCCGACATGGAACAACCAACTAAAAACTGAAAATGTAGTTGGTAAAAAATTGAAAAATTCCAATACCCAATGCTAGGAAGATTGTCAAAGGAGGTATACTTGAACAGTTTTAAAGAAATCCTTATTATTCAAAACAGACTGCTGGCCAGAAGTGTTGGCTATAAATTATTTTTCAATGTTATTCCTTGAAACATGGGGAAATTTAATTCTAATGCATCATGATAAATACCAAAATGACACTTCCTAAACCTATCGTAACTACTTTTATGCCACTGTAGTACATCATCATAGTATTAGATGAAGACAGATCTGCATCATGAGCAAGGTGTAATTAGAAAAAATATTATTGTACAAAATACATGAAAGTATTGTTGATTCATTTTAATTTCCTGGATACCAGATCTCTGTGTTTGTTATAAAAAAAAAAACCCTTGATAACTGAAAATGTCCAGTACGGCCCTGCTTGCACATTTTTGTGCGAGGCATACACAAATATTGATTGTAATACTAACAAACTCAATTCAATTAATTCAATGTTTTATGACTGTCTCCTCTCTCGACAATTACAATCGATATTTATACATTGTAAAACAATACTAAATAAAATGAGCCATTCTATACAGAATTATAAGACTATTAAAATGCATAGATATAATACATTAAACAATATGAAATAAAGTACTACATGTATTTACCATATATAAAATTTCAACACCTTTTTAAATTCAAATAACAGGTTTTGGAACACACATGTATCATATTTACATCTGAGAATAACACATCTGAGAATAAAAACACTAACTTTTGGTTATCATCTAAAATCTTCATAAAGAGGACATCTTAATAAAACATAAGCTTCGTCTTCAATGAAACTATAACATATATGGCCCACGCTAAAACAATAATTTTCATATTTCCCAGTTTAAATCCTTAGTGGAGCAACACCACATCTAAATTTGAGAAAAGCACTTCTGTGAATGAAATGCATTTTGACATTAAAAGTTTAACAACATAATTTGTGTCCATATTTTCAGGACACGATAAATGACTTGAATTCAGTTCAGATAATTTTCCACTGCTTATCAAAAATAGGTGGTATTAACTACATACTTGTGCCAAATATAAACAATGCAAACATAATCTTAGTTTTCCGACAGCCCGTCATGCTCGATGGACGCCAGATTGTATTATAAATATTCACAAATTATGTATATATAATTCAAAATCATACAATTCCTATGTATATATTATCCCATGGAAGTAAAATATAATACTTCCATGATTTTCCAAATACACCAAAACCAACTTTTGACTAAATGCACCCCTTCATAGACAGTCAAGGCCGGCCAGGAACAACTAGAGATAAAAAACGATATAATCGATCAAAAAGCTCTAGAAACCTGTGTCAGTGGATGCCAAGTGCGCAATCCCGTCTCCAGGGTCAGGTGCTGACCTACACCTTAAAACGTGTGTATTGACAAATCAAAATGCAATTTAAAATAAAATTATCAACGTATAATACAATAATACCCAAGTCTCCAGTAACTGCAGCATTTGGTGCATATTTTTCTACTTCTAGAAAATCTACAGGCCCCATTATGTATGGAATTTATACAAGAATATCTTTTTACACCCCATATACCTTTTCATATTCTATTATAGGACAAACCAAACTTTCATATAATTTTACAAATACATCGAAACAGACACCCCCTTAAAGTTTACACTTGGCTATTACCATCCTTAAAGTTCTATTTGCTGAAGATGCAACGGCTTTTGCAGTGATATTATAGTCTAAATGCTTGTTTAAAATGAGACCAAGTATCATTACTAGAAGACTTTATAGTATGACCATTACAATTAAAAATTACATCATATCTAGGTATAGATGGTGGTCTAAATTGTACAATGTTACTCTTGTTTGTATTAATTGTCATACAATTGTCTTCAAATCATGTAGAAAAAGCATTTACCAAAAGTTGTAGCTCTTTTTCATCGTTTGCTATAATAACATCATCAGCATATAATAAAATACAGTTTTTCATCACCAATATCTATTCCGCAGTCAAAGGACTTAAGAAATGTTACTCAATCATTAATATACAAGTTGAACAAAATGAGCGACAAGGGACATCCTTGTTTCAAGCCAGTGTTTACATCAAACCAGTCTGTGAAATGATCGTTTATTCTTACAGAACATTTGTATAAATTGACTTAATAGCAGAACAAAAAGTCTGTGCAACACCAATTTTATCTAGTTTATACCATAAAATATCTCTGTGTAGTGTCGTAAGCCTTTTTAAAATCAATATAAAGGCGCAAAAGATTAATTTAGGAAGTGTTTTTCTCACATTTATCAAATTAGTAAGAGTAGATAATTGGTCTATTGTACTACAAAGTTGTCATAAACCATTCTGTTCCTCAACCAGTACATTGTTATCATCTACCCACTGAGCTAATCTATAGTTCAGTATATTACAGTACAATTTGTAAGACACTGATGCAAGGGCGATCCCTCTATAACAAAGGGGGGGTCTCTCGCGTCTGACATGTTAGATTTAGGAATATAATTTATAATACATTAATACTTTTAAAAGGATATCAACAGGATCCATTAGACTATACTTAACGACACTATCTAATTAAGTGGATTAACCATGTTAGCTATCAGTGATTTTGCAGATCCATTTAACCAAATGTTTTAATGAAGCAGAAATTTATATTTGGAATTTTGTTTTCCAAGTTTTTCTAATTTTCAATTTCCATCCATCAAACTGTGTCAAATACAATTTAATTTTGATACAATAACTTTCCAAAATCGATTTAAAAATTATAAATTATAAAGTTTAAATATTATATATTCACAGTTCAAATGTTCATGCACTGATACTGTTTCTTTTTCAATGACAATAAAATACCAAATGTATATCATTTCAGAATTACATTGACAGTTCCCTTTGAATGACAAAACCATATCCTGAAGACATAGAAACCACTGATTCCTCCATAGAAAAAAACAAGAAACACCTCAATAAGAACTACCTCAGTAACTCCGAAACCCACTATGTTAAATGTTAGTGAAGATGATACCATGCAAGCAAAATGTACTTCTGAAATGATAATTTGATATTTGCTTAGTCCACAACAAAACTTTTAAGATATACATTAAAGGGTGCATGAACTAAACCATAAGTTAAAGTCAATTTTGTTTGTGTTAATTTGAATTTGATTTTTTTTTTAATTTTTAATTTATATATATTTAACAAAACTGCATATACATTTTTGTTTTTATCTTACAAAAGCAATGATAGATACAACAGGAAAAAGTATTTCACCAAACTGGGTGTTCTGATTTGGTTACTCAAAAGATGATGCAAAAAGGAAAATACAGAATATTTACAGACTATTCTAATTTATTCATATGTAGATATGGTAACTTGTCAAATTTGAAGATAGTTTCTATTTTAAGATCTTATTTAGAGCTGGCCTTAATTACAACCAACAATTGATCTTTTGGCTATACAATGGAAGTTGCTGGCAAACCAAAACTATCTGATGTATATACATTTTGAACTTGAATTTCAAAAAATCTAAATAAAGTCATATTGTCCAAATTACTTAATAAAAAATTCAGGTAAATAAGTAAATATCTAAATTGACAATCTACTTTCTTTAATATGAATATTGAAAAAGAGGTTTACAATACATTTTTAATTATGATTGTTATATCATTGTAGCCATATTGAGGGCACTTGGCAAATTCTCATCTGATATTTTGAACATTAAAGATTTTTATAATCTTCATCTATAAACTATAATCTTATTTATTCTCTAAAGAATTAAACTGTCTCTTCACGATTCTCAATTTAACATCTTCTGCTGCCATGCTGCACCTTCTACTACTGAAACATCATATAAGTTGCATCTGTAAAAAAAAACCAATCAATTCAGAAATTAATGTGATGCATGTTTTATGTCAAATCCTAAATTGGAGACTAGTATACTTACAATTACTTTATATTTTTATTAAAAATACACCTCAGTACAGTAAATATTTGAAAATTTACTTCACTAGATTATAAATTTGAACAAAAGAAATATGTACACTAATTTGAAATAGAATTTTATTTAAGCTGTTGTTCCAGGGAAAACTGATATTTATTACCCAACACATATAAACATAGTCTAAAGTACAATTAAAGTACAATCTTAACTTTTTTTTCAAGTAGTCACTGAACCATGAAAATGAGGTCAAGGACATTGGACATGTGACTGACAGAAATTTCGTAACATGAGGTATCCATATACAAAGTATGAAGCATCCAGACCTTCCACCTTCTAAAATATAAAGCTTTTAAGAAGTTAGCTAACGCCGCCGCCGGATCACTATCCCTATGTCGAGCTTTCTGCGACAAAAGTCGCAGGCTCGACAAAAACTAAATACATTTTATCATAAACACAAGTTATCATACTATGTAATCAGCTCTGCTTTTACGAGATTAGCGCCCATTAAATTCATCAATGTTATATCAAAATCTAAAGTTTGCTCTCTGCAGAGGTCTGCTTTTACGAGACCCATTATAACATAAAGCATCTTTTTGTCAAACTGTTCAGGAAAAAACGGATTTTTATTACCTAACAAACATAAACATAGTTTTAAGAACAATTGTAATGACCAAATACCTACATGTGCAACATCCTAATGTGTGAAAGCATCTTTCATGGTATAGGAGTGTTACATATTAAGGCTGTATAATCTGTAACAAAAACAAAAATTATTGAAATATTCACTGTAATGAGATATATTTTAATAAGAAAATAAGAATGTATAGTGATTGTAAAACATAAATTAATTGTAAAAATTAATGGGTTTTGCTGTTAATTGTAGGCTCAACAAAAATGAGGAAAAAATCAATAAAAATATTCCTTTAGATACTATCTTTTGATTGTAAGAAGCTTCTGTCAAAGTTTGGTATAAATCCAGGATAGTTTATGAATCTAATAAATGTTTTAAAAACTTTATTTAATGTTAACTGGAAGAAAAACTAAGTCCATTTATAAGTAAAATACAGATAAACAGGTACAAATTTTAACAAAATTTCCTTCTAGATACTAGCTTTTGATCATAAACAAGCTTCTGTCCAAAATTTGGTACAAATCCAGGATAGTTTAAGAAAGTTATTAAAATTTTAAAAACTTTAACCACAGAGTGAATGTATTGTTTCCTGGCAGAAAAACTAAGTCCATTTATAAGTAAAATACGGAAAAAAGAAATTTTTTTTTTTAACAAATTTACTTCTGGATACTATCTTATGATCATAAACAAGCTTCTGTCCATGTAATGTACAAATCCAGGATAGTTTAAGAAAGTTATTAAAATTTTAAAAACTTTAACCACAGAGTGAATGTATTGTTTCCTGGCAGAAAAACTAAGTCCATTTACAAGTAAAATACGGAAAAACAGGAATTTTATTTTTACAAAATTTACTTCTGGATACTATCTTATGATCACAAACAAGCTTCTGTCCAAGTTTGGTAGAAATCCAGGATAGTTTAAGAAAGTTATTAAAATTTCAAAAACTTTAACCACAGAGTGAATATTTGTGGACGACGACAACGACAATGACGACGACGCCGACGGAATGTAGGATCGCTATGTCTCGCTTTTTCGACTAAAGTCTAAGGCTCGACAAAAATCTTCATAAGAGTATAAATTTGAATTGAAGAAATTTTAAATCAATTTGTTATCAAATCTAATTTAAGCTTCCAGGGAAAACTTATTTTTGTTACCTGCAAACCATATAAACATAGTTTAAAGTACAATTAAAAATACCAAATACCTACATGCTACGTATCCAGATGTGTGATCAATCTACCATGAAACCATCTTCATTGTCTAGGAGTGTAACATATTTCGGCTGTATCTATAACAAAACCAAATCATCAATTAGTATCAGCTTCAAATAGAGACTATTGGCTGTTGCAACAATTATAAAATAAATGTCACTCATATTTTATGTCAAATCCTAAATTGGACACAAGAATATTTAAAATTACTACGCATTCATGTTAAAATTTACTTCACTAGATTATAAATTTGAACAAAAGAAATATGTACACTAATTTGAAATAATATTTTATTTAAGCTGTTGTTCCCGAGAAAACTGATATTTATTACCCAACACATATAAACATAGTCTAAAGTACAATTGTAATGACTACCTACATGTTAAACATCCTAATGTGCATCTACCATGAAACCATATTCATTGGGTAGGAGTGGAACATATCTGGGCTGTATCTGTTACAAAAGAAAAAATTTAAATTAGCATCAGCTTTAGAGAATATTTAATGGCTGTTCAAAAAATTTAAAAATTAATGTGATTCATGTTTTATGTCAAATCTTAAATTACTGACAATTAATTTACAATTACTCTTTCATTCTTTTTAAAATATACCACATTTGAAATTCGAATAAAAGATATTTTAGACCAATCTGTAATAAAATTTTAAGCTATTGTTTCGGTGAAAACAGATTTTTATTGACTTCCAAATATTAACAGAGTTTTAAGTACAATTGTAATGACCAAATACTTACATGTTGACTCTTCCTATCTACCATGAAACCATATTCATTGGGTAGGAGTGGAACATATCTGGGCTGTATCTGTTACAAAAGAAAAAATTTAAATTAGCATCAGCTTTAGAGAATATTTAATGGCTGTTCAAAAAATTTAAAAATTAATGTGATTCATGTTTTATGTCAAATCTTAAATTACGGACAATTAATTTACAATTACTCTTTCATTCTTATTAAAATATACCACATTTGAAATTCGAATAAAAGATATTTTAGACCAATCTGTAATAAAATTTTAAGCTATTGTTTCGGTGAAAACAGATTTTTATTGACTTCCAAATATTAACATAGTTTTAAGTACAATTGTAATGACCAAATACTTACATGTTGACTCTTCCTATCTGCCATGAATCCATCTTCTCTGTCTAGGAGTGCAACATATTTAGATGTATCTTTAACAAAAACTATAAATTAATATCAGCTTTAAATACAGACTATTTGCTGTTGCAATTTTTTCAGAATTTAATCTTTGCATGTTGGACAAGAATATTTATAATTACTATACATTCCATTAAGAATATATTTCATTAGAGTATAAATTTGAAGAAATTTTTTTGAGACCAATTTGTAATAAAGTTTCAAATTGGTTGATAATGAAATAGAGCCAGACAAAAAAACTAAATACATTTTACCATAAACACAAGTTATCATACTATGTAATCAGCTCTGCTGGGGGATCTGCTTTTACGAGATTAGCGCCCATTAAATTCATCAATGTTATATCAAAATCTAAAGTTTGCTCTCTGCAGAGGTCTGCTTTTACGAGACCCATTTTAACATAAAGCATCTTTTTGTCAAACTGTTCAGGAAAAAACGGATTTTTATTACCTAACAAACATAAACATAGTTTTAAGAACAATTGTAATGACCAAATACCTACATGTGCAACATCCTAATGTGTGAAAGCATCTTTCATGGTATAGGAGTGTTACATATTAAGGCTGTATAATCTGTAACAAAAACAAAAATTATTAATTAGTTTACACTTTAAATCCAGACTCTTTGCTGTTGCAATCAATTCAGAAAATAATGTGATGCATGTTTTATGTTAAATCCCAAAATAGAGAAAAGTATATAATTACAATTACTATACGTTCTTATTAAAATATTCAGCATTAAGAGTATAAATTTGAATGAAAGAAATTTTAGACCAATTTGTTATAAAGCTTCAATCTGTTATTTCAGGAAAAAACTGATTTTTATTACCTAACAAATATAAATATAGTTTGAAGGAAAATTGTAATGACCAAATACCTACATGTGATTTATCCTAATGTGCATCTGCAATGGAAGCATCTTTCATGGTATAGGAGTCTATCATATTTAGGGTGTATCTGTAATGAAAACAAAAAAAATAAACATTAATTTCAGCTTTTAATCCAGACTTTTTGCTGTTGCAATCAATTCAGAAATTAATGTGATGCATGTTGTAATGTCAAATCCTTAATTGGAGACAAAAATTGTTACAATCACTATACATTCTTATTAACATATATCTCATTACAGTGAATATTTCAATAAATGTAATGTAGGACCAATTTGTAATAAAATTTCAAGCTGTTGTTCCAGGAAAAACTGATTTTTATTACCTAACAAATATAAACATAGTTTTAAGAACAATTGTTATGAATAAAAACCTACATGTGACTAATCCTAATGTGCTATCTGCAATGGAAGCATCTTTCATGGTAAAGGAGTCTTACATATTTAGGCAGAATCTGTAACAAAAACAAATATTTTAAATTAGTTTCAGCTTCAAAATCAAAGCTATTTGCTGTTGCAATCAATTCAGAAATTAATGTGATGCATGTTTTATGTCAAATCCTAAATTGGAGACGTATATTTACAATAACTATACATTCTTATTAAAATATACTTCATTAGGATATAAATAGGAATAAAAGAAATGTTAGACCAATTTGTTATAAAGCTTCAATCTGTTGTTTCAGTGAAAACTGATTTTAATGCCTAACAAATACTAGAGGCTCCAAGGAGCCTGTGTCGCTCACCTGATATTTTTATTTACAATTGATGCATGAAATAATGCAACCGTTATACATTTGCTTTAGTTTCAGAGATACAAGTCAAAAACTGCATTTTCCCCCAAAGTTCTATTTTTAGCCATGTCTGACATGTTGGTTGGCATGCAGGGTCATCGGACACATTTATTAAACTAGATACCCTAGTGATGATTGTGGCCAAGTTTGGTTAAATTTGTCTCAGTTGTTTCAGGAGAGAAGATTTTTGTAAAAGATTACAAAAATTTACGAATAATTGTTAAATTTGACTTTAAAGGGCAATAACTCCTTATGGGGTCAATTGACCATATTGGTCATGTTGACTTCTTTGTAGATCTGACTTTGCTGAACATAATGGCTGTTTACAGTTTATCTCCATCTATAATAATATTCAAGATAACAAAAAACTGCAAAATTTCCTTAAAATTACTAATTCAGGGGCAGCAACCCAACAAAGGGTTGTCTGATTCATCTGAAAATTTCAGGGCAGATAGATCTTAACCTGATGAACATTTTTACCCATAGTCAGATTTGCTCTAAATGCTTTAGTTTCAGAGATATAAGCCAAAAACTGCATTTTACCCCTTTGTTCTATTTTTAGCCATGTCGGCCATCTTGGTTGGCAGGCGGGGTCATCGGACACATTTTTAAAACTAGATACCCTAGTGATGATTGTTGCCAAGTTTGGTTAAATTTGGCCCAGTAGTTTCAGAGGAGATTTTTGTAAAAGTTAACGGACGACGACGGACGCCAAGTGATGAGAAAAGCTCACTTGGCCCACAGGGCCAAGTGAGCTTATAAACCTAGTTTAAATAAAAAAATTGTAATGAATAAATACTTACATGTGACTAATCCTAATGTGCTATCTACAATGAAACCATTTTCATTGTCGAAGAGTGTAACATATTTAGGCGTTATCTGTAACAAAAACAAAAATTGTAAATTAGTATCAGCTTTAAATAGGGAATATTTGATGTTGCAATCAATTCAGAAATTAATGTGATGCATGTTTTATGTCAAATCCTAAATTGGAGACTAGAATATTTACAATTACTTAACTTATTACAGTAAATATTTGAATAAAAGAAATGTTCGACAAATTTGTAATAAAATTTTAAACTGTTGTTCAACGGGAAAACTGATTTTTGTTACCCAACACATATAAAAAGAGTTAAAAGTACAATTATAATGACCAAATACCTACATGATACAAATCTTCGTGTGCTGTATACCATGAAAGCATCTTCATTGTCTAGGAGGGTAACATATCTAGTCTATCTGTAACAAAAACAAAAACTCTCAATCAGTATCAGCTTTAAATAGAGAATATTGGTTGTTGCAATTAATTCAAAATTAATATGATGCATTTTTGATGAAAAATCCTAATTTGAAGACAAGTATATAAACAATTTCTATACATTATCATTAAAATAATCTTCATAAGAGTATAAATTTGAATTGAAGAAATTTTAAATCAATTTGTTATCAAATCTAATTTAAGCTTCCAGGGAAAACTTATTTTTTTACCTGCAAACCATATAAACATAGTTTAAAGTACAATTAAAAATACCAAATACCTACATGCTACGTATCCAGATGTGTGATCAATCTACCATGAAACCATCTTCATTGTCTAGGAGTGTAACATATTTCGGCTGTATCTATAACAAAACCAAATCATCAATTAGTATCAGCTTCAAATAGAGACTATTGGCTGTTGCAACAATTATAAAATAAATGTCACTCATATTTTATGTCAAATCCTAAATTGGACACAAGAATATTTAAAATTACTACGCATTCATGTTAAAATTTACTTCACTAGATTATAAATTTGTACAAAAGAAATATGTACACTAATTTGAAATAATATTTTATTTAAGCTGTTGTTCCCGAGAAAACTGATTTTTATTACCCAACACATATAAACATAGTCTAAAGTACAATTGTAATGACTACCTACATGTTAAACATCCTAATGTGCATCTACCATGAAACCATATTCATTGGGTAGGAGTGGAACATATCTGGGCTGTATCTGTTACAAAAGAAAAAATTTAAATTAGCATCAGCTTTAGAGAATATTTAATGGCTGTTCAAAAAATTTAAAAATTAATGTGATTCATGTTTTATGTCAAATCTTAAATTACGGACAATTAATTTACAATTACTCTTTCATTCTTATTAAAATATACCACATTTGAAATTCGAATAAAAGATATTTTAGACCAATCTGTAATAAAATTTTAAGCTATTGTTTCGGTGAAAACAGATTTTTATTGACTTCCAAATATTAACAGAGTTTTAAGTACAATTGTAATGACCAAATACTTACATGTTGACTCTTCCTATCTACCATGAAACCATATTCATTGGGTAGGAGTGGAACATATCTGGGCTGTATCTGTTACAAAAGAAAAAATTTAAATTAGCATCAGCTTTAGAGAATATTTAATGGCTGTTCAAAAAATTTAAAAATTAATGTGATTCATGTTTTATGTCAAATCTTAAATTACGGACAATTAATTTACAATTACTCTTTCATTCTTATTAAAATATACCACATTTGAAATTCGAATAAAAGATATTTTAGACCAATCTGTAATAAAATTTTAAGCTATTGTTTCGGTGAAAACAGATTTTTATTGACTTCCAAATATTAACATAGTTTTAAGTACAATTGTAATGACCAAATACTTACATGTTGACTCTTCCTATCTGCCATGAATCCATCTTCTCTGTCTAGGAGTGCAACATATTTAGATGTATCTTTAACAAAAACTATAAATTAATATCAGCTTTAAATACAGACTATTTGCTGTTGCAATTTTTTCAGAATTTAATCTTTGCATGTTGGACAAGAATATTCATAATTACTATACATTCCATTAAGAATATATTTCATTAGAGTATAAATTTGAAGAAATTTTTTTCAGACCAATTTGTAATAAAGTTTCAAATTGGTTGATAATGAAATAGAGCCAGACAAAAAAACTAAATACATTTTACCATAAACACAAGTTATCATACTATGTAATCAGCTCTGCTGGGGGATCTGCTTTTACGAGATTAGCGCCCATTAAATTCATCAATGTTATATCAAAATCTAAAGTTTGCTCTCTGCAGAGGTCTGCTTTTACGAGACCCATTTTAACATAAAGCATCTTTTTGTCAAACTGTTCAGGAAAAAACGGATTTTTATTACCTAACAAACATAAACATAGTTTTAAGAACAATTGTAATGACCAAATACCTACATGTGCAACATCCTAATGTGTGAAAGCATCTTTCATGGTATAGGAGTGTTACATATTAAGGCTGTATAATCTGTAACAAAAACAAAAATTATTAATTAGTTTACGCTTTAAATCCAGACTCTTTGCTGTTGCAATCAATTCAGAAAATAATGTGATGCATGTTTTATGTTAAATCCCAAAATAGAGAAAAGTATATAATTACAATTACTATACGTTCTTATTAAAATATTCAGCATTAAGAGTATAAATTTGAATGAAAGAAATTTTAGACCAATTTGTTATAAAGCTTCAATCTGTTATTTCAGGAAAAAACTGATTTTTATTACCTAACAAATATAAATATAGTTTGAAGGAAAATTGTAATGACCAAATACCTACATGTGATTTATCCTAATGTGCATCTGCAATGGAAGCATCTTTCATGGTATAGGAGTCTATCATATTTAGGGTGTATCTGTAATGAAAACAAAAAAAATAAACATTAATTTCAGCTTTTAATCCAGACTTTTTGCTGTTGCAATCAATTCAGAAATTAATGTGATGCATGTTGTAATGTCAAATCCTTAATTGGAGACAAAAATTGTTACAATCACTATACATTCTCATTAACATATATCTCATTACAGTGAATATTTCAATAAATGTAATGTAGGACCAATTTGTAATAAAATTTCAAGCTGTTGTTCCAGGAAAAACTGATTTTTATTACCTAACAAATATAAACATAGTTTTAAGAACAATTGTTATGAATAAAAACCTACATGTGACTAATCCTAATGTGCTATCTGCAATGGAAGCATCTTTCATGGTAAAGGAGTCTTACATATTTAGGCAGAATCTGTAACAAAAACAAATATTTTAAATTAGTTTCAGCTTCAAAATCAAAGCTATTTGCTGTTGCAATCAATTCAGAAATTAATGTGATGCATGTTTTATGTCAAATCCTAAATTGGAGACGTATATTTACAATAACTATACATTCTTATTAAAATATACTTCATTAGGATATAAATAGGAATAAAAGAAATGTTAGACCAATTTGTTATAAAGCTTCAATCTGTTGTTTCAGTGAAAACTGATTTTAATGCCTAACAAATACTAGAGGCTCCAAGGAGCCTGTGTCGCTCACCTGATATTTTTATTTACAATTGATGCATGAAATAATGCAACCGTTATACATTTGCTTTAGTTTCAGAGATACAAGTCAAAAACTGCATTTTCCCCCAAAGTTCTATTTTTAGCCATGTCTGACATGTTGGTTGGCAGGCAGGGTCATCGGACACATTTATCAAACTAGATACCCTAGTGATGATTGTGGCCAAGTTTGGTTAAATTTGTCTCAGTTGTTTCAGGAGAGAAGATTTTTGTAAAAGATTACAAAAATTTACGAATAATTGTTAAATTTGACTTTAAAGGCCAATAACTCCTTACGGGGTCAATTGACCATATTGGTCATGTTGACTTCTTTGTAGATCTGACTTTGCTGAACATAATGGCTGTTTACAGTTTATCTCCATCTATAATAATATTCAAGATAACAAAAAACTGCAAAATTTCCTTAAAATTACTAATTCAGGGGCAGCAACCCAACAAAGGGTTGTCTGATTCATCTGAAAATTTCAGGGCAGATAGATCTTAACCTGATGAACATTTTTACCCATAGTCAGATTTGCTCTAAATGCTTTAGTTTCAGAGATATAAGCCAAAAACTGCATTTTACCCCTTTGTTCTATTTTTAGCCATGTCGGCCATCTTGGTTGGCAGGCGGGGTCATCGGACACATTTTTAAAACTAGATACCCTAGTGATGATTGTTGCCAAGTTTGGTTAAATTTGGCCCAGTAGTTTCAGAGGAGATTTTTGTAAAAGTTAACGGACGACGACGGACGCCAAGTGATGAGAAAAGCTCACTTGGCCCTGTGGGCCAGGTGAGCTTATAAACCTAGTTTAAATAAAAAAATTGTAATGAATAAATACTTACATGTGACTAATCCTAATGTGCTATCTACAATGAAACCATTTTCATTGTCGAAGAGTGTAACATATTTAGGCGTTATCTGTAACAAAAACAAAAATTGTAAATTAGTATCAGCTTTAAATAGGGAATATTTGATGTTGCAATCAATTCAGAAATTAATGTGATGCATGTTTTATGTCAAATCCTAAATTGGAGACTAGAATATTTACAATTACTTAACTTATTACAGTAAATATTTGAATAAAAGAAATGTTCGACAAATTTGTAATAAAATTTTAAACTGTTGTTCAACGGGAAAACTGATTTTTGTTACCCAACACATATAAAAAGAGTTAAAAGTACAATTATAATGACCAAATACCTACATGATACAAATCTTCGTGTGCTGTATACCATGAAAGCATCTTCATTGTCTAGGAGGGTAACATATCTAGTCTATCTGTAACAAAAACAAAAACTCTCAATCAGTATCAGCTTTAAATAGAGAATATTGGTTGTTGCAATTAATTCAAAATTAATATGATGCATTTTTGATGAAAAATCCTAATTTGAAGACAAGTATATAAACAATTTCTATACATTATCATTAAAATAATCTTCATAAGAGTATAAATTTGAATTGAAGAAATTTTAAATCAATTTGTTATCAAATCTAATTTAAGCTTCCAGGGAAAACTTATTTTTGTTACCTGCAAACCATATAAACATAGTTTAAAGTACAATTAAAAATACCAAATACCTACATGCTACGTATCCAGATGTGTGATCAATCTACCATGAAACCATCTTCATTGTCTAGGAGTGTAACATATTTCGGCTGTATCTATAACAAAACCAAATCATCAATTAGTATCAGCTTCAAATAGAGACTATTGGCTGTTGCAACAATTATAAAATAAATGTCACTCATATTTTATGTCAAATCCTAAATTGGACACAAGAATATTTAAAATTACTACGCATTCATGTTAAAATTTACTTCACTAGATTATAAATTTGTACAAAAGAAATATGTACACTAATTTGAAATAATATTTTATTTAAGCTGTTGTTCCCGAGAAAACTGATATTTATTACCCAACACATATAAACATAGTCTAAAGTACAATTGTAATGACTACCTACATGTTAAACATCCTAATGTGCATCTACCATGAAACCATATTCATTGGGTAGGAGTGGAACATATCTGGGCTGTATCTGTTACAAAAGAAAAAATTTAAATTAGCATCAGCTTTAGAGAATATTTAATGGCTGTTCAAAAAATTTAAAAATTAATGTGATTCATGTTTTATGTCAAATCTTAAATTACGGACAATTAATTTACAATTACTCTTTCATTCTTATTAAAATATACCACATTTGAAATTCGAATAAAAGATATTTTAGACCAATCTGTAATAAAATTTTAAGCTATTGTTTCGGTGAAAACAGATTTTTATTGACTTCCAAATATTAACAGAGTTTTAAGTACAATTGTAATGACCAAATACTTACATGTTGACTCTTCCTATCTACCATGAAACCATATTCATTGGGTAGGAGTGGAACATATCTGGGCTGTATCTGTTACAAAAGAAAAAATTTAAATTAGCATCAGCTTTAGAGAATATTTAATGGCTGTTCAAAAAATTTAAAAATTAATGTGATTCATGTTTTATGTCAAATCTTAAATTACGGACAATTAATTTACAATTACTCTTTCATTCTTATTAAAATATACCACATTTGAAATTCGAATAAAAGATATTTTAGACCAATCTGTAATAAAATTTTAAGCTATTGTTTCGGTGAAAACAGATTTTTATTGACTTCCAAATATTAACATAGTTTTAAGTACAATTGTAATGACCAAATACTTACATGTTGACTCTTCCTATCTGCCATGAATCCATCTTCTCTGTCTAGGAGTGCAACATATTTAGATGTATCTTTAACAAAAACTATAAATTAATATCAGCTTTAAATACAGACTATTTGCTGTTGCAATTTTTTCAGAATTTAATCTTTGCATGTTGGACAAGAATATTTATAATTACTATACATTCCATTAAGAATATATTTCATTAGAGTATAAATTTGAAGAAATTTTTTTCAGACCAATTTGTAATAAAGTTTCAAATTGGTTGATAATGAAATAGAGCCAGACAAAAAAACTAAATACATTTTACCATAAACACAAGTTATCATACTATGTAATCAGCTCTGCTGGGGGATCTGCTTTTACGAGATTAGCGCCCATTAAATTCATCAATGTTATATCAAAATCTAAAGTTTGCTCTCTGCAGAGGTCTGCTTTTACGAGACCCATTTTAACATAAAGCATCTTTTTGTCAAACTGTTCAGGAAAAAACGGATTTTTATTACCTAACAAACATAAACATAGTTTTAAGAACAATTGTAATGACCAAATACCTACATGTGCAACATCCTAATGTGTGAAAGCATCTTTCATGGTATAGGAGTGTTACATATTAAGGCTGTATAATCTGTAACAAAAACAAAAATTATTAATTAGTTTACGCTTTAAATCCAGACTCTTTGCTGTTGCAATCAATTCAGAAAATAATGTGATGCATGTTTTATGTTAAATCCCAAAATAGAGAAAAGTATATAATTACAATTACTATACGTTCTTATTAAAATATTCAGCATTAAGAGTATAAATTTGAATGAAAGAAATTTTAGACCAATTTGTTATAAAGCTTCAATCTGTTATTTCAGGAAAAAACTGATTTTTATTACCTAACAAATATAAATATAGTTTGAAGGAAAATTGTAATGACCAAATACCTACATGTGATTTATCCTAATGTGCATCTGCAATGGAAGCATCTTTCATGGTATAGGAGTCTATCATATTTAGGGTGTATCTGTAATGAAAACAAAAAAAATAAACATTAATTTCAGCTTTTAATCCAGACTTTTTGCTGTTGCAATCAATTCAGAAATTAATGTGATGCATGTTGTAATGTCAAATCCTTAATTGGAGACAAAAATTGTTACAATCACTATACATTCTTATTAAAATATATCTCATTACAGTGAATATTTCAATAAATGTAATGTAGGACCAATTTGTAATAAAATTTCAAGCTGTTGTTCCAGGAAAAACTGATTTTTATTACCTAACAAATATAAACATAGTTTTAAGAACAATTGTTATGAATAAAAACCTACCTGTGACTAATCCTAATGTGCTATCTGCAATGGAAGCATCTTTCATGGTAAAGGAGTCTTACATATTTAGGCAGAATCTGTAACAAAAACAAACATTTTAAATTAGTTTCAGCTTCAAAATCAAAGCTATTTGCTGTTGCAATCAATTCAGAAATTAATGTGATGCATGTTTTATGTCAAATCCTAAATTGGAGACGTATATTTACAATAACTATACATTCTTATTAAAATATACTTCATTAGGATATAAATAGGAATAAAAGAAATTTTAGACTAATTTGTTATAAAGCTTCAATCTGTTGTTTCAGTGAAAACTGATTTTAATGCCTAACAAATACTAGAGGCTCCAAGGAGCCTGTGTCGCTCACCTGATATTTTTATTTACAATTGATGCATGAAATAATGCAACCGTTATACATTTGCTTTAGTTTCAGAGATACAAGTCAAAAACTGCATTTTCCCCCCAAAGTTCTATTTTTAGCCATGTCTGACATGTTGGTTGGCAGGCAGGGTCATCGGACACATTTATTAAACTAGATACCCTAGTGATGATTGTGGCCAAGTTTGGTTAAATTTGTCTCAGTTGTTTCAGGAGAGAAGATTTTTGTAAAAGATTACAAAAATTTACGAATAATTGTTAAATTTGACTTTAAAGGGCAATAACTCCTTACGGGGTCAATTGACCATATTGGTCATGTTGACTTCTTTGTAGATCTGACTTTGCTGAACATAATGGCTGTTTACAGTTTATCTCCATCTATAATAATATTCAAGATAACAAAAAGCTGCAAAATTTCCTTAAAATTACTAATTCAGGGGCAGCAACCCAACAAAGGGTTGTCTGATTCATCTGAAAATTTCAGGGCAGATAGATCTTAACCTGATGAACATTTTTACCCATAGTCAGATTTGCTCTAAATGCTTTAGTTTCAGAGATATAAGCCAAAAACTGCATTTTACCCCTATGTTCTATTTATAGCCATGTCGGCCATCTTGGTTGGCAGGCGGGGTCATCGGACACATTTTTAAAACTAGATACCCTAGTGATGATTGTTGCCAAGTTTGGTTAAATTTGGCCCAGTAGTTTCAGAGGAGATTTTTGTAAAAGTTAACGGACGACGACGGACGCCAAGTGATGAGAAAAGCTCACTTGGCCCTGTGGGCCAGGTGAGCTTATAAACCTAGTTTAAATAAAAAAATTGTAATGAATAAATACTTACATGTGACTAATCCTAATGTGCTATCTACAATGAAACCATTTTCATTGTCGAAGAGTGTAACATATTTAGGCGTTATCTGTAACAAAAACAAAAATTGTAAATTAGTATCAGCTTTAAATAGGGAATATTTGATGTTGCAATCAATTCAGAAATTAATGTGATGCATGTTTTATGTCAAATCCTAAATTGGAGACTAGAATATTTACAATTACTTAACTTATTACAGTAAATATTTGAATAAAAGAAATGTTCGACAAATTTGTAATAAAATTTTAAACTGTTGTTCAACGGGAAAACTGATTTTTGTTACCCAACACATATAAAAAGAGTTAAAAGTACAATTATAATGACCAAATACCTACATGATACAAATCTTCGTGTGCTGTATACCATGAAAGCATCTTCATTGTCTAGGAGGGTAACATATCTAGTCTATCTGTAACAAAAACAAAAACTCTAAATCAGTATCAGCTTTAAATAGAGAATATTGGTTGTTGCAATTAATTCAAAATTAATATGATGCATTTTTGATGAAAAATCCTAATTTGAAGACAAGTATATAAACAATTTCTATACATTATCATTAAAATAATCTTCATAAGAGTATAAATTTGAATTGAAGAAATTTTAAATCAATTTGTTATCAAATCTAATTTAAGCTTCCAGGGAAAACTTATTTTTGTTACCTGCAAACCATATAAACATAGTTTAAAGTACAATTAAAAATACCAAATACCTACATGCTACGTATCCAGATGTGTGATCAATCTACCATGAAACCATCTTCATTGTCTAGGAGTGTAACATATTTCGGCTGTATCTATAACAAAACCAAATCATCAATTAGTATCAGCTTCAAATAGAGACTATTGGCTGTTGCAACAATTATAAAATAAATGTCACTCATATTTTATGTCAAATCCTAAATTGGACACAAGAATCTTTAAAATTACTACGCATTCATGTTAAAATTTACTTCACTAGATTATAAATTTGAACAAAAGAAATATGTACACTAATTTGAAATAATATTTTATTTAAGCTGTTGTTCCCGAGAAAACTGATATTTATTACCCAACACATATAAACATAGTCTAAAGTACAATTGTAATGACTACCTACATGTTAAACATCCTAATGTGCATCTACCATGAAACCATATTCATTGGGTAGGAGTGGAACATATCTGGGCTGTATCTGTTACAAAAGAAAAAATTTTAATTAGCATCAGCTTTAGAGAATATTTAATGGCTGTTCAAAAAATTTAAAAATTAATGTGATTCATGTTTTATGTCAAATCTTAAATTACGGACAATTAATTTACAATTACTCTTTCATTCTTATTAAAATATACCACATTTGAAATTCGAATAAAAGATATTTTAGACCAATCTGTAATAAAATTTTAAGCTATTGTTTCAGTGAAAACAGATTTTTATTGACTTCCAAATATTAACATAGTTTTAAGTACAATTGTAATGACCAAATACTTACATGTTGACTCTTCCTATCTGCCATGAATCCATCTTCTCTGTCTAGGAGTGCAACATATTTAGATGTATCTTTAACAAAAACTATAAATTAATATCAGCTTTAAATACAGACTATTTGCTGTTGCAATTTTTTCAGAATTTAATCTTTGCATGTTGGACAAGAATATTTATAATTACTATACATTCCATTAAGAATATATTTCATTAGAGTATAAATTTGAAGAAATTTTTTTGAGACCAATTTGTAATAAAGTTTCAAATTGGTTGATAATGAAATAGAGCCAGACAAAAAAACTAAATACATTTTACCATAAACACAAGTTATCATACTATGTAATCAGCTCTGCTGGGGGATCTGCTTTTACGAGATTAGCGCCCATTAAATTCATCAATGTTATATCAAAATCTAAAGTTTGCTCTCTGCAGAGGTCTGCTTTTACGAGACCCATTTTAACATAAAGCATCTTTTTGTCAAACTGTTCAGGAAAAAACGGATTTTTATTACCTAACAAACATAAACATAGTTTTAAGAACATATGTAATGACCAAATACCTACATGTGCAACATCCTAATGTGTGAAAGCATCTTTCATGGTATAGGAGTGTTACATATTAAGGCTGTATAATCTGTAACAAAAACAAAAATTATTAATTAGTTTACGCTTTAAATCCAGACTCTTTGCTGTTGCAATCAATTCAGAAAATAATGTGATGCATGTTTTATGTTAAATCCCAAAATAGAGAAAAGTATATAATTACAATTACTATACGTTCTTATTAAAATATTCAGCATTAAGAGTATAAATTTGAATGAAAGAAATTTTAGACCAATTTGTTATAAAGCTTCAATCTGTTATTTCAGGAAAAAACTGATTTTTATTACCTAACAAATATAAATATAGTTTGAAGGAAAATTGTAATGACCAAATACCTACATGTGATTTATCCTAATGTGCATCTGCAATGGAAGCATCTTTCATGGTATAGGAGTCTTACATATTTAGGGTGTATCTGTAATGAAAACAAAAAAAATAAACATTAATTTCAGCTTTTAATCCAGACTTTTTGCTGTTGCAATCAATTCTGAAATTAATGTGATGCATGTTGTAATGTCAAATCCTTAATTGGAGACAAAAATTGTTACAATCACTATACATTCTTATTAAAATATATCTCATTACAGTGAATATTTCAATAAATGTAATGTAGGACCAATTTGTAATAAAATTTCAAGCTGTTGTTCCAGGAAAAACTGATTTTTATTACCTAACAAATATAAACATAGTTTTAAGAACAATTGTTATGAATAAAAACCTACATGTGACTAATCCTAATGTGCTATCTGCAATGGAAGCATCTTTCATGGTAAAGGAGTCTTACATATTTAGGCAGAATCTGTAACAAAAACAAACATTTTAAATTAGTTTCAGCTTTAAAATCAAAGCTATTTGCTGTTGCAATCAATTCAGAAATTAATGTGATGCATGTTTTATGTCAAATCCTAAATTGGAGACGTATATTTACAATAACTATACATTCTTATTAAAATATACTTCATTAGGATATAAATAGGAATAAAAGAAATTTTAGACCAATTTGTTATAAAGCTTCAATCTGTTGTTTCAGTGAAAACTGATTTTAATGCCTAACAAATACTAGAGGCTCCAAGGAGCCTGTGTCGCTCACCTGATATTTTTATTTACAATTGATGCATGAAATAATGCAACCGTTATACATTTGCTTTAGTTTCAGAGATACAAGTCAAAAACTGCATTTTCCCCCAAAGTTCTATTTTTAGCCATGTCTGACATGTTGGTTGGCAGGCAGGGTCATCGGACACATTTATTAAACTAGATACCCTAGTGATGATTGTGGCCAAGTTTGGTTAAATTTGTCTCAGTTGTTTCAGGAGAGAAGATTTTTGTAAAAGATTACAAAAATTTACGAATAATTGTTAAATTTGACTTTAAAGGGCAATAACTCCTTATGGGGTCAATTGACCATATTGGTCATGTTGACTTCTTTGTAGATCTGACTTTGCTGAACATAATGGCTGTTTACAGTTTATCTCCATCTATAATAATATTCAAGATAACAAAAAACTGCAAAATTTCCTTAAAATTACTAATTCAGGGGCAGCAACCCAACAAAGGGTTGTCTGATTCATCTGAAAATTTCAGGGCAGATAGATCATAACCTGATGAACATATTTACCCATAGTCAGATTTGCTCTAAATGCTTTAGTTTCAGAGATATAAGCCAAAAACTGCATTTTACCCCTATTTTCTATTTTTAGCCATGTCGGCCATCTTGGTTGGCAGGCGGGGTCATCGGACACATTTTTAAAACTAGATACCCTAGTGATGATTGTTGCCAAGTTTGGTTAAATTTGGCCCAGTAGTTTCAGAGGAGATTTTTGTAAAAGTTAACGGACGACGACGGACGCCAAGTGATGAGAAAAGCTCACTTGGCCCTGTGGGCCAGGTGAGCTTATAAACCTAGTTTAAATAAAAAAATTGTAATGAATAAATACTTACATGTGACTAATCCTAATGTGCTATCTACAATGAAACCATTTTCATTGTCGAAGAGTGTAACATATTTAGGCGTTATCTGTAACAAAAACAAAAATTGTAAATTAGTATCAGCTTTAAATAGGGAATATTTGATGTTGCAATCAATTCAGAAATTAATGTGATGCATGTTTTATGTCAAATCCTAAATTGGAGACTAGAATATTTACAATTACTTAACTTATTACAGTAAATATTTGAATAAAAGAAATGTTCGACAAATTTGTAATAAAATTTTAAACTGTTGTTCAACGGGAAAACTTGATTTTTGTTACCCAACACATATAAAAAGAGTTAAAAGTACAATTATAATGACCAAATACCTACATGATACAAATCTTCGTGTGCTGTATACCATGAAAGCATCTTCATTGTCTAGGAGGGTAACATATCTAGTCTATCTGTAACAAAAACAAAAACTCTAAATCAGTATCAGCTTTAAATAGAGAATATTGGTTGTTGCAATTAATTCAAAATTAATATGATGCATTTTTGATGAAAAATCCTAATTTGAAGACAAGTATATAAACAATTTCTATACATTATCATTAAAATAATCTTCATAAGAGTATAAATTTGAATTGAAGAAATTTTAAATCAATTTGTTATCAAATCTAATTTAAGCTTCCAGGGAAAACTTATTTTTGTTACCTGCAAACCATATACACATAGTTTAAAGTACAATTAAAAATACCAAATACCTACATGCTACGTATCCAGATGTGTGATCAATCTACCATGAAACCATCTTCATTGTCTAGGAGTGTAACATATTTCGGCTGTATCTATAACAAAACCAAATCATCAATTAGTATCAGCTTCAAATAGAGACTATTGGCTGTTGCAACAATTATAAAATAAATGTCACTCATATTTTATGTCAAATCCTAAATTGGACACAAGAATATTTAAAATTACTACGCATTCATGTTAAAATTTACTTCACTAGATTATAAATTTGAACAAAAGAAATATGTACACTAATTTGAAATAATATTTTATTTAAGCTGTTGTTCCCGAGAAAACTGATATTTATTACCCAACACATATAAACATAGTCTAAAGTACAATTGTAATGACTACCTACATGTTAAACATCCTAATGTGCATCTACCATGAAACCATATTCATTGGGTAGGAGTGGAACATATCTGGGCTGTATCTGTTACAAAAGAAAAAATTTAAATTAGCATCAGCTTTAGAGAATATTTAATGGCTGTTCAAAAAATTTAAAAATTAATGTGATTCATGTTTTATGTCAAATCTTAAATTACGGACAATTAATTTACAATTACTCTTTCATTCTTATTAAAATATACCACATTTGAAATTCGAATAAAAGATATTTAAGACCAATCTGTAATAAAATTTTAAGCTATTGTTTCGGTGAAAACAGATTTTTATTGACTTCCAAATATTAACATAGTTTTAAGTACAATTGTAATGACCAAATACTTACATGTTGACTCTTCCTATCTGCCATGAATCCATCTTCTCTGTCTAGGAGTGCAACATATTTAGATGTATCTTTAACAAAAACTATAAATGAATATCAGCTTTAAATACAGACTATTTGCTGTTGCAATTTTTTCAGAATTTAATCTTTGCATGTTGGACAAGAATATTTATAATTACTATACATTCCATTAAGAATATATTTCATTAGAGTATAAATTTGAAGAAATTTTTTTGAGACCAATTTGTAATAAAGTTTCAAATTGGTTGATAATGAAATAGAGCCAGACAAAAAAACTAAATACATTTTACCATAAACACAAGTTATCATACTATGTAATCAGCTCTGCTGGGGGATCTGCTTTTACGAGATTAGCGCCCATTAAATTCATCAATGTTATATCAAAATCTAAAGTTTGCTCTCTGCAGAGGTCTGCTTTTACGAGACCCATTTTAACATAAAGCATCTTTTTGTCAAACTGTTCAGGAAAAAACGGATTTTTATTACCTAACAAACATAAACATAGTTTTAAGAACAATTGTAATGACCAAATACCTACATGTGCAACATCCTAATGTGTGAAAGCATCTTTCATGGTATAGGAGTGTTACATATTAAGGCTGTATAATCTGTAACAAAAACAAAAATTATTAATTAGTTTACGCTTTAAATCCAGACTCTTTGCTGTTGCAATCAATTCAAAAAATAATGTGATGCATGTTTTATGTTAAATCCCAAAATAGAGAAAAGTATATAATTACAATTACTATACGTTCTTATTAAAATATTCAGCATTAAGAGTATAAATTTGAATGAAAGAAATTTTAGACCAATTTGTTATAAAGCTTCAATCTGTTATTTCAGGAAAAAACTGATTTTTATTACCTAACAAATATAAATATAGTTTGAAGGAAAATTGTAATGACCAAATACCTACATGTGATTTATCCTAATGTGCATCTGCAATGGAAGCATCTTTCATGGTATAGGAGTCTTACATATTTAGGGTGTATCTGTAATGAAAACAAAAAAAATAAACATTAATTTCAGCTTTTAATCCAGACTTTTTGCTGTTGCAATCAATTCTGAAGTTAATGTGATGCATGTTGTAATGTCAAATCCTTAATTGGAGACAAAAATTGTTACAATCACTATACATTCTTATTAAAATATATCTCATTACAGTGAATATTTCAATAAATGTAATGTAGGACCAATTTGTAATAAAATTTCAAGCTGTTGTTCCAGGAAAAACTGATTTTTATTACCTAACAAATATAAACATAGTTTTAAGAACAATTGTTATGAATAAAAACCTACATGTGACTAATCCTAATGTGCTATCTGCAATGGAAGCATCTTTCATGGTAAAGGAGTCTTACATATTTAGGCAGAATCTGTAACAAAAACAAATATTTTAAATTAGTTTCAGCTTCAAAATCAAAGCTATTTGCTGTTGCAATCAATTCAGAAATTAATGTGATGCATGTTTTATGTCAAATCCTAAATTGGAGACGTATATTTACAATAACTATACATTCTTATTAAAATATACTTCATTAGGATATAAATAGGAATAAAAGAAATTTTAGACCAATTTGTTATAAAGCTTCAATCTGTTGTTTCAGTGAAAACTGATTTTAATGCCTAACAAATACTAGAGGCTCCAAGGAGCCTGTGTCGCTCACCTGATATTTTTATTTACAATTGATGCATGAAATAATGCAACCGTTATACATTTGCTTTAGTTTCAGAGATACAAGTCAAAAACTGCATTTTCCCCCAAAGTTCTATTTTTAGCCATGTCTGACATGTTGGTTGGCAGGCAGGGTCATCGGACACATTTATTAAACTAGATACCCTAGTGATGATTGTGGCCAAGTTTGGTTAAATTTGTCTCAGTTGTTTCAGGAGAGAAGATTTTTGTAAAAGATTACAAAAATTTACGAATAATTGTTAAATTTGACTTTAAAGGGCAATAACTCCTTACGGGGTCAATTGACCATATTGGTCATGTTGACTTCTTTGTAGATCTGACTTTGCTGAACATAATGGCTGTTTACAGTTTATCTCCATCTATAATAATATTCAAGATAACAAAAAACTGCAAAATTTCCTTAAAATTACTAATTCAGGGGCAGCAACCCAACAAAGGGTTGTCTGATTCATCTGAAAATTTCAGGGCAGATAGATCTTAACCTGATGAACATTTTTATCCATAGTCAGATTTGCTCTAAATGCTTTAGTTTCAGAGATATAAGCCAAAAACTGCATTTTACCCCTATGTTCTATTTTTAGCCATGTCGGCCATCTTGGTTGGCAGGCGGGGTCATCGGACACATTTTTAAAACTAGATACCCTAGTGATGATTGTTGC